GATCAAGACTCCTCCTCCCGATCTAGATCGACCGAAAACAGCCGCCGTGGAGATGGATCGAATCATGATGAGTGGAATCGCGTGGAAGGCCCGGCGAACGTGGCGTGGCGACGGGGGGTCGATCATGTCGCATGCATGCATGCGTCCATCCAGGCCTCGTCAACTTGTCTTGCGTGCAGTGTGGGTTGAGGTACGGAGATCTGGATCGGACACGATGACACCGCCGGCAAGGGTCACTGGCCAGCAGTGCCCGCCGCAGCAGCTCTGACCTTGAAAGCAAGCAGAGACAAAAGATGGTAAACTCCTCCTTTAACAAGAAGAGAGACCACCATCATTCCTAATAACCTGAAAAGTAAATCAACGTCAGTTGCGGGTAGCTGGCTTGCTCCGCCCACGTGGCCTTGTGTGAAGTGAATGAATGCACCGGCGAGGATGATGGCAACCATTTTCAGTGAGATGAGACAGCATTGCTATTTGCACTTTGTTTGTTCTCGATCGGCCTTCGCTCTAGTAGCATTTAAACAGTAACAAATCAAAAAACTCATCCCCTCCTCAAGCTCGACATTTGAAAGGTTTTTGGCTCGGTTAAGTGAGAGTAGTACTTGCTCAATCTTCTCCTACATCGCGGCTTCCCGGGTAAATTTAGGGATTGGATTGCCGTTGCCGTCTTGTTCCACATGTCCACGTTCGGATTCTTCTCAGCAGAGTGGCTGACCTGCCTGTCATGCATGATAGGGGCCTCCGCCACGGGGATCCCCTCCCGCTCATATTTGTCATTTGCAATTGACCCCTTGCAAATAGTTCTTGAGCCGGCCACTCAGCATGATCTTCTACACAAGATTCGGGGTCGAAGGGTCGTGTTCCGCGCTTACCTTTATGCAGATGACACATCGATCTCTATGGCTCCTTTCAAGAGGGACATTGACATTTTTGCGAGCATTTTGAGCAACTTTGGGGACGTAACGGGGTTGGCCACAAATTTTCAAGAGAGTGTGCTTGTTCTAATCCGGTGTGACCATCTAAACCTTGAGACAACTCTTCCTAGTCTGCCGGCAGCTAGAGCGGCCTTCTCAATCAAGTTCTTGGGGCTACCGCTTTTCGGTTTGGCAACTCAAAAGGGTTCCAATATCTTGAAGACAACATTGCCTCCAAGGTCGTCGTTTGGGACAGAAGAAATATCTCCACCATTGGCCGAGCGACCGTTCTCATGTCCGATGTCCCTCCTCACCTCGCAAGTGATATACCCCCCCCCCCTCCCCCACACACACACACAGAGACACACACATTGTGCCACCGGGCATGCTACACAATGCAAACAAGCTTGAGCGGGCCTTACGACGGGCGCTAATAAGTGCAAAGTTAACTGGAACTCGGTGTGTCGACCTAAGGACCTCGGGGGGCTCGGTGCGCTCAACCTCAAAAAATTCGCTCGGGGCACTCAGAGATGCAGTGGTTGTGATTTGAGTGGAAGGAGTCTTCCAAACTCTGGGTGAGTTTGGGGGAGCCCATGCGATGACGGGCAAGGATTTCTTCTAGCCTCCACCACCATCTCAATGGGTAATGGAGCCCGCACCCCTTTTTGGGAGTCGTCGTGGTTAAATGGCAAGAAAGCCCAAGGAGATTGCCCTACTCATCTATGAATGCTCATCTAGAAAGATTGGAAGGTCAAGGATGCAGTGAAGGAC